GCCATGAACACCAACGATGCCAAGGAGTATCTGGCCCGGAGGGAAATCCCTCAGCTTTTTGAGGTAGGGGCTAGGGCTGGCCGACGGGCGGGAGCATCCGGGGACTGCATCTCGGGGGTTCGGGGTGAGGCAGCCGCGCCCCGTCCCACCTTCCCCACACGGGGCATGTAATTGAAGGGGCTTGCAGAAGCACACTCGCCCGCTCGCCCGAGGGTAGTCGCGTTTCCCGCGGGTTGCCAGGGTCCTTGTCAGATGGCTGGGCTTAGAAGCCTGAATCTTGCAGATCAAGTTTCAGTCTTCCAGCAGGGTTCTGAAAGCAGCCTGCCCCCATCGCGCCCCTCGGATGTGGACACCCAGGGTGGGCTCCAGACCGCGGCCGGGCCGCGCTCTCTGGAGGCGAGGGCCAGGCCAGGTGGCTGCACTATCTCCCAGCAGCGAGTAAAGATTCGAAACTGAGGGATTCAGAGCCCTAGTCACTCTACTTGTCCAGGGTTGGAACCCCTGGGGGAAAGAGGAAATGTGGACGAAGGCAGCCCTCCCCGGAGACAGCTTGGAAGAGAGAGATGAAGATGCAAAAAGCAAAACCCAACCTATCGAGTGCCACCTCCCCGGTGACAGGCCCCCAGCGTTGCTCTGCGCTTTCGCTGAATGAACTCCTGAGCACGTTTTTCCGTTGCCTAGGAAGGGTTGGGCCGCAGGTTTCGCCAGTGCTCGACAACCCACCTGGAGATAGCGGGTCCGGGAGGGAGCTGCGAGGCGGGCGGACTCCTGTTGCTCAGTCTTCAAACCGAAGCACAGCATCATCTGCACCGGGACCCAGAGTGGGGGGAACACTTGGAGACTGAGAGAGAGGAGGCTTGAGGAATGAACCTTAGTCGGTTCTAAGCCACAGCCCCTGTCTCAGGTCGTTTTGGCTTCCTTTCCTTCTCTTTGTATTTGAATTTAAAAACATTCCTGAATCTCAAGTGCTTTTGCTTGAAGTGGGGGGGGGGAGGAGGAGAAAAGAATAGAAGCAAGCCAAGCTTCCTAAGCGAGCTCTGAAAGGGGAAATCCATTCTCTGCAAACCTCGTTCCCATTTCTGAAAACTGATAGACTGATATCGTAAACTAAAGGTCATGAGGGTTTTTTCCCCCCGATTTGAGGGATTTGTTCTGTTAAAAGGAATTTTAAAGCACCACTGGAGAAAATAATTTTGCGTCAGTTTCCCTAAACTGTCTTTAAAATGGGTTGCCATAATTACAGATCTTCTTTTCTCTCACCTCTATAAGCCACCGTTTTCAGGTCATCTGAAGTCAAGATTTCCAGGTGAAGCATTCACTGAGCTCAAGCGTGGTATGTGAAGCCCAAATCTAGCAAATGTGTTACTCCTGCGTGAAAATAATTAGGTGGTGTTGCGTAAGGACAGGTCTTGAGAATGTGTGGGAATCTTAAGAGGTGTTCTTTTTTTGTTTTAATTTTCAAAAAGTAAATATGGAAATTAAGAGGCGAAGGTTTTTCTCACAAAGATTACTACTGAGATGTATTTCATTTCTACGCTTCTGAAAGAATCATTGAAAACATCTGTAGGAGGACCACGTGATTGCAAAAATTCCTACATAGTACATCTTTTTGATATATAAATGTGGGTACTGTTTTTCCTCCTTGGTGGAAGGTAACCACAGAGAATTTTGATAGTTTATTAAAATCTACACCGTGTATGCAAATAAGTTATGGCAGGCCTTTTTGTTAAGGTTTTAGGTTTTTTATTTACTTTTCTGCATATGAATGGGATAAATAATGCACACCCAGAAAAGGAAGTCAACTTGCTTGGGTGAAATACAGTAATGGACTTAGATTCACTTCTGGACAGTAAGATGTAAGTAGACTGCTGGTGACCTCCAAAGGCTACATCCTTCAGTAAGACGAATCTGTGCTATGCGCAGCTCAAGAGGGAAGGAGAATCTGGCAGTTCTCCATGTGATGAGTGTAGACTGTAAAACTAAATACTTTAGGTTTTTAAAATGGATTTTGCCCACCACAATATTCTAAGTGTACAAAGTTTAACAATTAGCTATCTACTAAACACCAAGACATTGGCCCCAGCTGTGGATATTAGAGGCCATTATAGACAAATTGATTATTGTATTGACGTATTTTCAGACAAGTAAATATATCTAACTGACCTTTTCAGATTTTTTCCTAATTTGAGACATCATGTAAGCCAAATGGAATATGGGATATCTCTGGTAGGTTCATGTTTGAAATGTGTTTCCGGTTTTAGACTTTTTTAAAACCACTTTCTTATTATTTTGTCATGAGTTCTTAATTCTGGCTAACTTTATGGTGTGTATATTGATCTTGTACCTTACAGCAGAGATTTGGCAATCAATTTGAATACTGTGGAAAGTCAAATTAGATTATTCAAGGTCTCAAAGGGTTCACTCAGAGACTGAGCAATAATATGTGCTGGTTGTCTTCAATCCCTGAGAGTGGCTGGCTGTTAGAAAAAACGATCTGAATTATCCATGAAGGAATGGAACTCATTGCCCTATTTTAAAATCAGTGCCCTTTGGAGAACCAGTTTTGTTTAAGGATGCTGGAAATGTATATTTTCAGAAAAGAGTCATTGAGTGTGTTCACCTATTTTAATAGTAGGGATTAAAAGAGGGCATTTTGCAGATGGCACAGAGAATCTCATGTTTTCTGTTATCTTACACTACATTTCTGCAACAGGTACAGAGAAGAACATATGGGTTTTGGAATCAGAAACATTGAATTGAAATCCTGGGCCTAGGTGTAGAATTCTAGTTGAGTAAACTGGAGTAGTCACTAACATCTCTGAGTTGTGATTTCCTAATCTATAAAATGGGGGTAATAAAGTCACACAGGGCTGAGAATGCACTGGGTATGCAAATAAATATATGACATAGAGGCTTTTATTTATTAATAAGATTAATACTGGCTTGGCATATGGGAGAAATGTGAGAAGCTCAACTGCAATGTGTGTGTATATAGGACAGATTTTGACAAACAAACTGGATTGGATGCCCTGGTAGTTTTTTCTGCTCCCTCTGCAATTGAACTTGGCTGATAGAGGTGCACACTCTAGCTTACTCTATTTAGGATTTCAGAAAACAAACGTACCTGGTGAGAATTGCCTACCATTCTGAGCAAATTACACAGGAAATAATTGAAAATAAAATACTGTATTTAAACAGATGTCAGCCCTTCAAAGGGTGTTTTGTATGCTAACAATGTATATTGGTAAGAATAATCCTTTATGCTTTTTCCATGAAATACTCCAAAGGAAAATATTTTGTACATCAGTCCAGCTTCCAGGAATCAGCATTTCCAAACTGGTAGCGTTTTTAGAAACTAGTACCAGTGACACATCAGACACCATGAACCATGAAAGCAATAGCAGGATCATGCCTTTTTTCCTTTCCCATCTGGAATCTTAGTGGATATTGTAGTGGCCTACTCTATGTCAAACAGTAATTTTTTTTTTTTAGTCTCAGACCTCAGTTTTTTTGAGTCTCACTTAGATTTGAGCTTTGAGGGATTTTTTTTCCAATTGGAAAACAGTTAAATATGCACCTACCAAATGTCAGGGAAAGCATCAGTATCTGGGGATTGAAAAATGAATGAGACTCACTCTGTGTTGTTGAAGAGCTTATAATTTAGAAGAGAGACCAATGCATAACCCAATGGTTTCAGTATAAATGACAAACAAGTATGATGTTTTATGCTGGATACCATGAGAACACAGAAGAAGGGGTTCACAGACCAACCTAGGGATTCAGAGAAGACTTCCTGATAGTAATAATAACTAAAACCACCAACAAAGTTTGTTCGGCACTTACTATGTGCCATGCACTTAATGTGCACTGTACAAATATGAAATTATTTAATTCTTTAAAAACTCTATGAGGTATTTATTATTACCCCCATTTTATAAAAAAAGAAACTGAGGTTTAGAGACATAAAGGGTGGGTAGCAGTGAGACAAATAATGACTGGGGCATTTTCACATGCTGCATTTTATCTCACTGTGATAAAGTGAACGGCTCTTCCATTTTAAACTATCTAGTTGCCTGAATTGCTTAAGAGGCAGAGAATGCTGAACTGAAAACTAATTAGGCAAGAATTTAAGGGATTATCTTAATGACTCCATCAGATTGTAATTTCAACTCTGTTTGTTAAAAGACAAATGCAAAGAACAAAAACAACCAGAATCCAAAGATGAGCCATAACACTATTTTAACAAAGGTGGGTGGGGCCACGTGCGGTGGCTCATGCCTGTAGTCCCAACACTTTGGGAGGCCAAGGTGGGTGGAGGCCGAGGTGGGTGGATCGCTTGAGGTCAGAAGTTCGAAACCAACCTGGTCAACATGGTGAAACCCTGTCTCTACTAAAAATACAAAAAGTAGCTGGGCATAATGGTGTGCACCTGTAATCCCAGCTACTCGGAAGGCTGAGGCAGGCGAATCACTTGAACCAAGGAAGTGGAGGTTGCAGTGAGCCAAGATTGTGCCACTGTACTCCAGCCTGGCCAGCAGAGTGAGACTCTATCTCAGAAAAATAAATTAAATTAAATTTTTAAAAAAACAAAGGTGGGTTTAAAAGTATTTGTACATATTTTGTTATATTTCAGAGCCTTTTGAATGGACTGATGTGTTCTAAGCCCGAAGACCCAGTAGAATACTTGGAAAGTTGTTTACAGAAAGTCAAGGAACTGGGTGGCTGTGACAAGGTGAAATGGGATACATTTGTAAGCCAGGAAAAGAAGACCTTACCTCCGCTAAATGGAGGACAGTCACGGAGATCCTTTCTAAGAAATGGTAATGTATATGGAGAATAATAGACAGTTTTATAGCAATTTGTATAGAATTTATAGCAATTCTCTTTAAAACATGCCATATAGACTATACACAGTGATTTCATTTTTTGAGTTCATAAATGCCTGAAGTCCTTGGATCATGATTAATTTCTCTCTGCTACGAATTCTAATCACTTCCATAAAAAGACAAACAAAATTACACACCGTTGTCCAACAATTCACTAGAGGCTTAATGAAATTTTATATTACTGACTTCATTATTTTGCAAAATAAATTACATTAGCAAACCATACATACATTTTTCTTAAAATTGCAAATAAGATTTCTCACAATAAATGAATAGAATAGAGGTATAATTGGTAGTTACTGCATAGCAGTTCAGCATTTTTTTATTAACTAGAAAGAGATTTGGCTTACTAATGTTTCCAAGTTCAGAGTTCATAATAATGCATCTGCATAAACGCATGTAAAGTTTATACTAGTGATAAAAGAAAAACTTCAGCCAAATTAAATCTAAAGGAGTTTAATTGAGCAACAAACAATTCATGAACTGGGCAACCCCCAGAAACACAGCAGATGCACAGAGAAACCAGTGCAGCCACATGGTGGAAGATTTATAGACCAAAAAAGGGAAATGACATACAGAAATCAGAAGTGAGGTACAGAATGGCTGGATTGGTTACAACTCAGCATTTGCCATATTGAACACAGTTTGAACACTCAATCGTGTATAAATGGTTGAAGTACAGCCGCTGGGATCGGCCAAGACTCAGCTATTGTTACAGGTGCATACTCCTAAGTTAGGTTTTCAATCTTGTCTACCTATTAAGCTAGGTTGCAGTTTGTCCGCAAGGACTCAAATATAGAAGTATGGAGTCCTTCTCAGGTCATATTTAGTTCACTTTAACACTAGTTAATTCAGTAAAAAATTTTTAAGCATCTACTGAATGCAAGGTATTAATTAATACATTAATCTAGGCATTTGGGTGCTATAAAAGAAGTTGGAAAAGTGAACTTGTTTAAATTTTAGGAGTTGTTTAGAACTAAAAACTGTAGTTTATTAGAGAAGATTCATGGTGTTTTGATCTCTTTCTGAAACATGTGCTTATCAAAATTAGGGGTTCAACATGAGCCAACCAGCCTTTCAACTTCTAGATGAAGTTGAGACGTATAATAGTATGTGCAAATTGGAATCAGCTCAAATCAGGGGAAACTAAATTCTGTTCTAGTGGCCAAGATCATTACATTTTCAAAACTGAAACCATTCTCAAAAACTATACAACAAAAGGTTTGTGCTATACAGACAGCATCTGAAATGGAGACAATTCTATCTGCAATGAATATAAGCAGGAAGCAAATCTTAGTTTGCTTAACCTTATTAGTCATGACCCACATAGATTTTATTTGAATGCAGTGTGGGAAAAAGTCATAGTGTGCTAATTTTCAAGGAACACAAGCAAAAGAAGGCAAACAGAAATAGCTTTTCCTAAGAAACGTCTCTAAAGAAAAGTGTCCTTCACCGTTCATGCAGAAGTCAGTGATATGACCCTGACCAAATTTCCCAGTGCTGCTGAGAAGTAATGAGATGCCTGAAGTTGCTATTTAAAACTAATTTTACAAACTTTCAAATGTTATAATGGACCAAAAAACAGAAAAATAGCTAGAAAATTTTTGGTGTGACTATAAGGTAATGAGATTAGCACTCTGAGTCTTAGCAATTAATCTCATTACCGTGCAAGGTCTCTCACTGCTGTCCGTCAGGTAAAATAACACTCAGTACAAAATAAGCCATGTGGTTACATTCTATGGGGAGTCCTAAGGTAAGGTTGTGTCTTTATATACTTACTAAATCAAATTTGCACCAAATATTTTGATTTGACCTTTAGGACCTTACAATACCAAAGAGATTTTTCTCTTGCCATACAGTCTATTCATAGACCCACGTTCTGGTTTGATAACCAAGCAGAGTCCCAGGTATAAAGTTCACTCTTTGTAAATCAGCAGGATTTCTGGTTCACTGAGAACAGCCTGATACACAGAGTAGCAAATGAACAGAATTGGAGTTTAGAACTCCAAACTGTGCAGACACAGCTTAGATATGCCCTCTCTGTGGGCAGCAGGTACTCATGGTTGTATCTTTAGCCAGTTGCTGCTGCAGCATACCACTTAGTACATTACTACTTTGGTGAATAAATGATATTTTTGTGGGCTTGAACAGTTCATACACATCCCCAACATACGGGAAGCTTACTTCCCAGGGTGTCATCATACTTAATGTCTGGCTCCCTGTTAAATACATACCCCGTGCTCTTGTTAGATCAAGCGAGGTAAATATGGGAATCTGCTTTCTAAACCTTAAAGTACTAATAAACTTCAGGTATACATTTTAAAAATTAAATCTGAGAAGCTATGACATCTACTTAGTCGGACGCTGCTCTGAGTGAGTGTAAAAGTGACTGCAACAAAATGAAATCTTGATACTTCTATTTGATACTTTTTTATACTGTTACTTGGCCTGATTGTACATTGAAGCTAGGCAGGTCATGTGGCAATAGAGAATGGTAAGGACTGTGGCCAAACTAGAGAGCAGAGCTAGAGAGAACAATCATTGTTTAAAGACAGTTAAGTACAAATTTTGCAAAAATGTCCAGCTGAACAAAACACATCTGTGGGGCTATGTTGGGTACACAAATTGTGAGTTTGGAATTCCCAATCTAGCAGGATAAGCTAAAACAAGAATGGAAAATGTAGGCTTAATTTTCATTAAAATAAGATTGCATGTTAATTTTAGGTTCTCCATACCCACTGATACTTTACCAAAATTCCCACACGGGGATCTTTTAGTTAATCATCAAATACAAAATTTTCATATACCTATGGTGGTAAGAATGTGGCATCACATGGTCTTGTATCTGAAAGGTATGCTAAAAAGCGGAAAATGATTTCTAAACTGGTCCTATAATAATACAATTCTATTTTATGAAATACTTTATTCATTTGTGCTTTGAAGGTTTTAGTTGTAATGTGTGGAATCATTTATTACATTCAACAAAATTCCTAACTGCCCAGTATCTTAAAGCATAGTGATTATTTCTAGAAATGAGTGATTCATGCATTTTTTGTAAAAATATTGCCTTAGCTATGTTAATGTGTTATTACTATGAAAAATTATTCTGTGAAATGAAACATTTTCATCATCTAATCAAGTTACTTTCCTAAGTTAAAATATGATAAAGCAAGGATTAAATTATTGGCTGTCTTTAAAGCATTAAATATGAGGTAAGCATCCCTTTCTTTCTGCCACATGCATACAATTGAATAATTATCTGTAAATAAGAGTTCTAATCCCATAACCCCAAACATTCATAGAGCCTGTCTTCCAGAATATCTCATTATCTTATATTCAACGTGTCCAAAACCAAACACACTATATTTATTTCAAAACCAGCACTTACTTCTTTTCCTGTTTCCATGAAGTCAGCCGGTAAGTCAGTTGGGCAATAAATTAACCATTTATTGAGTACTACTATGTGTCAGACATTCTTTTAGGACTGAAAATCCAACCACCAGGAAAGAACAGACATGGCACCTTCCTTTGGGGACCTTACAGCCTAGCAGTGAAGTCAAGCAGCAGGAATATAAGTAGGAGCACAATGGCACCATAGGAAAATCACATGCTAAGGAATTAACCATGTTAACAAAGGACTGAATCTAACCTAGGCTGGGGTTCAGGATCGGCTTCCTGGAAGAGGTGATGTGCTTATATTTGGAGCCGAAAGCTAAGTGTGTGTTAGCTAGAGAAGGATGAAAGAGATTGTACCAGGGAACAGCGAAGAGAAGTTCCTGAGGCAGACAAAGAGGCTGTAATTTGGTTAGGAATGAGAGAAGTCCAATATTGCTGGAGCAGAAAAGAGAGGGCAGAAAGATACTATATGAAATGCAGTATGGTCCTTATCCTTTTAGACTTGAAGCCTGGAAATTGTTTTTAAACTGTCACCTCCTTTCATTTCTCATATTCCAACCCTAATCATATCCTTCAGATCTGGCCATCCATTTCCGTTTCCCCTGCTACCACTCTAGCCTAAGCCTTCATTTCTCATCTGTTGATTACTTTAACAGCCACCTAGCTGCTACTCTTTCTGTTCTTAGTCTTTCCCTGCTCCAATTCATTTTAACTAGCAGATTAACCTTCCTAAAACATGTATTTCATTTCATTGTTTCCTTTCTCTTACCAACCCTCCCCTGCAAATCCTCCACTGGCTTTCTACTAAAGCTAAACCCTTTACCATGGTAAAGGGTTCAGGGACCTCCACATTGAACCACGCTCTGCCCACCCATTTTATCTTCTGAGTTTTCTCTATGGGAAACTATTTCAGTAAGACATTCTTTTTATTATTAATTCAACAAATATTTATTGGACACTGACCATCTGCCAAGCACAGTTCTAGATCCCAGGGATACAGAGCTCCAGACCATAGGTAAGGCCCCTGCTCTCATGAAACTTATAATCCAATTGGAGAAGACAAACAATGAATGAATGGATAAATGAAGAAACTCTCAGATGGTGAAGTAGGTACTGTGCAGAGCGTTAGAGTGATGTCCCTGAGACTCACTAGGAGGCTGCACTAGATTAGAAAGTCAGTAAAGTCCTCTTGCAGGAGGTGACCTTTAAGGTAAAGTGTCAATGACAAGAAGCAGTCAGCCATGGGAGCAACAGGGGAAGAACATTTCAGGCAGTTGATTGTGGTGGCAAGCATGGAAGCAGGTAGATCAGTAAATAGTCTATTATGATATTCCAGGTAAAATATGATGATGGCTTTGGAAGAGTGATAGTAGAGATGGAGGGAAGCATATGCATTTGGTATATGTTTTGCAAATAAAGTATTGGGAATAGATGTGCAGAGAGAGGGAAGAAAGTAATCAAGGATAATGTTTCGAATTTTGTCTAATGTTGGATGAACTGATTAAATTTCAAGGCAGAGCAGGATAGTGTTGTTGGTGCTTTTCCTGAGGTAGCCCCTCCCAGATCTTTCTAAAGGAGATCTACTGTCATCTGCAGACTACTCAGTGCTTTTCATGAAGCTAAAATGAATCTAGTGGGTCCGTGGTCAATGGCCTTATTTATTGTATCAACAGAGAATGGAAAGTTCTAACGGATCAACATCCCTGGGAGGAGATGTGAGCCTTATGCCATGCTAAGATACGGTAGTCAGCAGAATTCCTCATGGAAGGCCAGGTGGCCTCCTGTTTGCTTTGTGCGAGTGCCTTTTGGGTAGTTAGTGCTTCTCTGTGCCTCCTAGAATACTGACACCTGAGGTAAAGAAGAGGGAGCCATAAACTATATATCAACAACTGCTTGAGACCATCTCCCTAGTTTGGACTTGCCAGCCCTGTCCTCTGGTCCTTTTGAGTATGTCATTTGAATTTCTGACTGGGAGTCTTCATAGTGTTCCCACCAACTGGGTTATATTTACTGCATTTCATAACCTGTGCTTGTCTTTGAAAGTTCAGGTCCTGCCTCCTTTGCAAGTCCTTTCTTACCACTGCAGCCCAAATGTAATTCATTAAATTACTGTGGTGTTTATCAGAGAGATACTCATTTTACCACTTATCGTGACTGGTGTTCATACAGCTATAAGATATAAACATATAAGCTCTAGTTTATAAGCACTGAAGGGACAGAACTACATCTTATTCTTACACTAAATTACTCTTAACACACTAACATATCTGGCGTGTTATAAACAGCAATAAATAGCAAGTATTTGTTGCCATTATAGATACAAACTTAAACTTTTACATCTTTAACTCAAGTAGATTAAAAATAATAAGTAAATTGATAAAGTAAAACTAGATGATATTATAAGATATTCCAATTGTAGGAATTATTTGCACCCTCCTACTGACCATGACAGTACTTTAATTTTTTATTCATTATGCCACCAAGCCATTCCATTAGATCACAATAGCATTTCTGGGTCATAGTAAGCAGCTTGTCTATATTTGTTGAATGAATGAAATACACAATACATAAGCATTAGCTTTATGGACAGGCAGCTGCATATGCTTGTGAAGGTTATGTACTACATAACTCCAGAGAGCACCATTTGCAGAGGCCACGATGTATGCAACCTACCAAACAAAACTAGGTAGTATCTGAGAAGGTTCCTTTTAGGGCAGAGGGTGGTAAAGTTTCATGAGCCAAGTTCATCTCACTGCCTGTTTTTATAAATGAAGTTTTATTGGAACACTGGCACACTCATTTGTTTATTATATTGTTTATGACTGCTTTCATACTACCATGGCTAAGTTGAACAGAAACTGCACAGCTCACAAAGCCCAAAATATTAACTATCTGCCCCTTTGTGATAAAGCCTGCTGACCCCTAAGGGAGACTTCTTCCAGTTGAGAACAAAACAGACCCATTTCATTTTAAAATTGCTTTTACTAATTGTTTAAGTGTGAAGAGTGTTTTATTATGGTGTTTTTTCCTTTTCAAAGTTATCTTACTCTTTTGCAGTAATGCCTGAAAATTCAAACTTTCCATATCGGCGGTATGACCGGCTCCCTCCAATCCATCAATTCTCCATAGAAAGTGACACGGATCTCTCTGAGACTGCAGAGTTGATTGAGGAGTATGAGGTTTTTGATCCTACCAGACCTCGACCAAAAATCATTCTTGTTATAGGTATGAGGACAGAAAGCAAAAATTCTCATACTGTTGCTACCTTTGTTTATATATTTACATTTCAAAAAAGTAAATCGTGTATTGTATGTGCAAACACTTAGTTGGATAATGACAATCAATAGAAACAAAAGCTCAGGGGACAATAAATGGAAATATTCTTAGTATAAGTTGCAATAAAATGAAAATTGTTATAATTATATAATCTAATGCCTATTGCATTTTCATAGATTCCCATTAAAATGTCATAGAAAATCTCTATAATGAATTGAAAGTAATACCTTCAAGATTTATTGTCCTGTGGTTTTATGTATTTAATCTTGATCACAGATAACTGAGCCAGTTGAAGTTTTCTAAGAGCTGGATGTGGTGGTAGTCCCAGCTAGTAGGGAGGCTGAGCCAGGAAGATCCCTTCAGCCCAGGAGTCCAGCCTGGGCAACATAGTGAGACTCTGTTTCTAGAAGAAAAAAAGAAAGTCTTCTAAACATGATGTGATTTTTACCCCTTTGAACCAACAAATTAAATTTTTACTCACTATTAACTTTAGAGGGAAAAATAAATAATAATATATTGGTAAAGGTTCATATAAATGAATCTTCTTTATGGCAGATTGGCACCTGTAATAAATCCAAAGTTTCATTGTTAAAAGACAAATAAATCTAATAGAATAGTGTTTTACATAGCACATAACATCTGAGTATTAGCCAAAATAACAATGATAATAGTTCATTTTAAAAGTTGCCACTATGAATCTTATGTTGAATATGGAAATATCAGCTCCATGACATTTCACAGGAATAGAAAATGAAAATGTTTTAAATATTTTTGAAAAATTCCTTTTTGGTCAAGGAGGGAGGATCACTTGAGCCCAGGAGTTTCAGACCAGCCTGGTCAACATAGCAAGACCCTGTCTCTACAAAAAATTTTAAAACTTAGCTGGGCGTGGTGGCACACACCTGTAGTCCCAACTATTTGGGAGGCTGAAGTGGGAAGATAGCTTGAGCCCAGGAGTTCGAGGTTGCCGTGAACTCCACTGCACTCCAGTCTGGGTGACAGAGAGACCTCATCTCGAAAAAAGAAAAAAAAAATTGTGGCTATTTTTGCAAATTCTTTCTCAAAATCTATAAAAATCATGAAGAGACCTGTGAACATGCAACATGTAGTCATTGTTTCACATTCCAGTTAGAATCACCTTTCACAGAGATGACCAAAAGCAAAACTCTGGCATGAAATGTTCAAAGCTGTTCTAGCCGGTTGCATTAACAGAGTGCCAGATTTATAGAGACCCCATGCAAGGAAGTAGTAGTGCTCCAGAGGACATAGCAATGTTGACAACTAGGAAAAAAGCATGCAAATAAACACACCAAGCTATAACAAGAATTTAAGCTCACTAGACTAGAAGGAATGACATTTGTATATTTTAAAGTGAAATGAAAATGAAATTGCAAATATATCTAGCCCTGAATTGTTAAAGACAAAATTACAGGAAGAGAGTTTAAAGTCAGTTTTTGAAGAGTTAAAATATTTTTTTGGAGAGTTAAAATATTTTTATGGCTTTATGGTAGCCACTGTTATGCCATAAATCTCTATTCTTGCAAGTGGAATGCATTCTTTTTGTGCTTAAAATTTTCAAGTCCTTACCTAGAAGACAGGGAAACCCTTTAATAAATGATAGAACTACAGGTGAAAAATAATCGGGAATTATGTCATCATTTTATGATTTGTATGTGGACAGAACACGTTCTTTCTATTTTGCTGTTCTTGCTGCTAGTAATAAAGTATTGGTCATTATTAACAGGATGAACAAATGGAAGCTTGATTGTTCATGAAAATGGTTTGATAGCAAATTGATCTTGTATAAAAGAGCACAAATATTTTTTGTGTGTACTATGAATTTTATATGAAAATGATTAAAATATTTCAATAAGCTAAGATCTTTGGAGAATATGTAAATGCTCAAATCTCTCCCACTTCACATTTCTTTCTATTCAGTGAAATCAACTTGTTTCCCGAGGTTGTGATTCTCATTATAGGCTTACATGCCGTATTGTAACATTTTATATATTATAAGAATGATGAACCAATAAGTGTAAATAATTTTAAGAGGATTGAAACAAGGGAAGAAAGGAGAGGGTGGATCTTAGGTTGTCTGAGAGAATTGGGGCAATTTTGTGACTTTTTTGGAATTATAAAATAATTGTACCTAAACCTTACAAATTTGTATTAGTTCGAACCTAAAAATGTGAGAGTGGGGTGTAGATGCCCACATGGTTTCTCTTCTAGCACTGCAGAATTTTTTTAAGGCTGACTCTCTTGGAACAGATACGAATCTCTCTTATGTTAACATAATCATAAAATATCAGTGAGATGGACCCTAATATTTATAAGTATTAGAGATAAGTGAACAGACCAAAATTAAGCCCATTCTGGCTCTAGAAAATTAAATTGATTGGAACTTTCAGTTTTCAAAGTAAAATTAATTTGATAGAAACTTTCAGTAATTAAGCTCATCCAACAAATTAATGACAGAGAATATCTCTGTCAATTGTGCCAACTGCATTTTTTGTTGTCTACTGTTGCCTCCATTAGTTGACAAAATTTTTTTTCTTGAAAGTACCATAACATTCTCAGTGTGTCTGAATTTTTAAAATTAATGGAGTGTATGATCTCTTAGTTTGGTGGTTGTGATTAAGTGTGGAAATATAGCTTCTGAAAGATACCTGATTCTTCAAGGAATAAATCAGTTTGAATTTGTCAATGGAATTGGTCAGATAATTTTTTTATTTCAAGTCAATTCATGATTTGCCCATATATTAGTAGGTTAAAAGCAGCTATTTAAAACCAAAACTTACTTTTGATTTGAAAAATAATCTAGTAGAAGTCTTTAATCCATTTTGATTTTATTTTGCATATGACAAGGGATAGGGGTCTGGTTTCTTTCCTCTGTATATGGATGTCTAGTTTTTCCAGCATCATTTATTGAAGAGACTGCTTTTTACACGGTGTGTGTTCTTGGCATCTTTGTGGAAAATGAGTTCACTGTAGGTGTGTGGATTTGTTTCTGGGTTCTCTATTCTGTTCCATTGGTCTATATGTCTGTTTTTACATTGCATAAAACTCTTGCATTCAAACAATATAAGGCAAGGACATGCATGAGCAAACATTTCAAAAAAGATTTAAATACGCTGTGTAAATACTGGTGGGCCTTTGTCTAAAAATAATGGTTACATTTCACCGAATTACACATTAACTCTCTGTTGGCGTAGAATCCATTATTGTTATTTTGATCATTGTTTTTTATATCCCACAGATTTTTCTTTGATTACAGGAGGAAAAATGTTAGATTTTACATAGAAAAATGTCAAGATTTCTTTCAACTACATTGTTCAAAAAAATTTTTAATTAGCTATTTGCTCAAATAGGTAGAGGAAAAACCTGTATCTCTCATTTAATACAGTTGGTCAAGACAATTCTTTCCTTGATGAAGTCTCTACTTGCTTTACATTCAAAGACAGCACTGAGAAAGCCGCAAATGGCTTTCCTATTTAACCACCTGCCTTGGTGACACAGAATCTGCATCCCAGATGAAGTAGTAGTTGTATAAAAGGGAGGTTCTTATTGTATCAGAAGATCACAGTTTTGCCTGTTTTAAATACTAGGTGGTCCAGGAAGCGGAAAGGGTACTCAGAGTTTGAAAATTGCAGAACGATATGGATTCCAATACATTTCTGTGGGAGAATTATTAAGAAAGAAGATCCACAGTACCAGCAGCAATAGGAAATGGAGTCTTATTGCCAAGATAATTACAACTGGAGAACTGGCCCCGCAGGTACTGCTGTATAATTTTCTTTTATTCTGCAAAATGTTTTCCTACCACTTGAGTGTACTAAGTTTAACTGTGGTTTTGTTTTGTTTTTTTTCATCCTTTCTGTTTATAAAAGGAAACAACAATTACAGAGATAAAACAAAAATTGATGCAAATACCTGATGAAGAGGGCATTGTTATTGATGGATTTCCAAGAGATGTTGCCCAGGCTCTATCTTTTGAGGACCAAGTAAGAATGTCTCCTTCTATTTTAAATGGACTAATTTTTGCTTAAAATTTTGGGAATTAAAACAAAAAGACTTCTTGGAAGACTTGTGGTGCTTTTGAATGAATTCTGGTCTGAAAACAGGCAAATACATCAGTGTGGGTTGGCAGAAGGTCATTTCTTTGGCAAACACTTAAAAATTGAAGACAGTCTCTGCCAAAAGGAAAGATAGCTAATAATAGAATGCTTTTTATTGAAAAATGCAAATCTCTCTAAAATTTATTTCAGAATACTTTTCATACAATTGTTTTTTATCTTGAATTACTAAGAATAAGCCTTATTCAGTACTGTCCAGGGATGCAAAACATTACCCTGTACTTATATTCATGCCAACCAAGGAAACTTTCTTCGGGTTGTGAAATACTGAACCACCTACGTAGATTAAGATAGGGTTCGGTTGCCAGAATTTGAGTAGGCTATGCCTGCTCAACCCCCAACACATCTGTTTTAAAGGAAAGTAAATCAATTAAAGTATTTTATATATCTATTTAAGCTTTAAAATCTCATGTTAATTGGTTTTTCATTTTAAAAAATTAAGGCTGGACTCAGTGGCTCACGCCTGTAATCCCAACAATTTGGAAGGCTGAGGTGGGTGGATGGCTTGAGCCCAGGAGTTCCAGACCAGCCTGGGCAATATGACAAAACCCCATCTCAAAAAAAAAAAAAAAAAAAAACCCCGAAAATAAACCAGGTATAGTGGCGCACACCTGTAGCCCCAGCTACTCAGGAGGCTAAGAGAGACTGAGAGGCAGGAGAATCACCTGAGCCCAGGACATCAAGACTGCAGTGAGCCAAGATGGTAGCACTGCACTCCAGCCTGGGTGACACAGCAAGACCCTGCTTCAAAAAAAATTTCTTTTAATTACAGAAGTAATATATGCTCATACAAATTTTAAGCCTATCTGTAAAACATGAAAGTCCATCAACACCCTCCCATCCCACTGCTCCTCCTTTCCTGAGAAATAGGAGTACTGTTAGGTTTGTTATATATTCTTCCAGACCTTTTTCTATACTTAGATGCATACATACATGTATGGACACACATGCACATGCTCATATTCAAATGCATTCTAAATTTTCATAACGACTTTTCCAAGTTATATCAATGTTGAATGAGAGTATCTTTTTCTAGAGACCCTTTCCAACCAGATATGATTCATATGTGAAATTTTTGCCAACCTGATAAGTAAATGGCATTTTGTGTTTTAAACTTGCATTTCTTGGGTTACTATTAAGGTTAAGTATGTTTTCATACACTCATTGGCCATTTGTATTTCTTCCTTATGTGAATTGCCTGTTCTCCTTTGCCCATTTTTCTACAGACTTTTAAATATTTTTCTTATTTGTTTCAAGGAGCGTTTAACATATTACAGATACCGTATTATACAGTATTAGGTAAAATACGATGTCAGTTTGTGTATCACATGAAAGAAGCCTGGAGTTGGGCAGTTCACGGCCAGGGTAGCTTTACAAAACATTTTTTTGAATGTTCCCATTAACTGTTTTGGATCACCTATTGTACTAGAATGTTTGCCTCCCCTTCTTAGGTTTCCTCTCCCACCGTCAGTCCAGAGCCTCTGGTGCTCAGTCAGCTTAAGGGCTTGGTTCTAATTGTTCTGGCTTTGAAGAGAGAAAAACTGGAAAATATCTGATGAAGTTTTGTTATTGCTGTTGCTACCACATTATATTCTGTTGAAAGCGGGTGCTATGGCAGTCATTGCATGTGATTCTTGGTTATTGGCAGAAGTGTGATAGGCAGGGAGGCAGGCATTGCCACCCAAACCTGGTTCTCCCACCCACATATTGAATGTGCTAAACTTGGTAGGGACAAGCAGATGAAGCTACTTGATTTTTTTTTTTTTTTTTTTTGTCTATTGCTTTTTAAACATGCTATGTTGAGTATCTTTCTTTTTTGTTGAACAATAACTCAGGATGAGTCCCTGACTTTTCTGGTCACTTAAAAAACATTAACAAAAGATCTCATTTTCAGCTCTTGAAAAGTCCAGTCCAATCTAAATCAAAACTTTAATTTCTTATTCACTTTAACATATCTCTGCTGTCCCCAGCTTGGACGAGATTCAGACTCAGAAACCTAAGGTGGTATATCAGAACTTGAAATTCCTACTCGTGTGACTTGCAGTAGATGGGAGAGGGAGGGAAGAAAGGATTGCCTCCTACATAGGGAAGAGGTAGGAAAGCATAACCCTCTGGTAACTCTCTCTGGATACCTGATCAATCTACATCTTCTTTTATATAGCCTAGTCATAGGTAACAGTACTGATTTGGGGTCTGTTAGCAAATTCTATAGGATGGTCTGTTATCTCTATGTAGAATGTGCAGCAACTTACATTTATTGTTTTCAACCACATTTCTGAGACTGAAAAGGTCCAATTTAACATCTTCTTAGGATGGCATTCTAGCAGCCTGGAGGTTCTTTGCCACTGTGGGCAGTACAGAGGTGTCTGAGGTCGATGTCACCTTTGCTTATCCTGCAGGAGTTAAGCGGGTATGGAGGCAAAGCTGAAATGTTATTGTAAAGCAGTGTCAGGGTCAGCCCTGATGATTCTACACCCTATGTAGGCTTAAGCTTCTGGGGTGTCTTTTTTTCTGCTACCATTTCTGACACCAAATGTGTGGTCTTCCACACCAGTTCTCCAGTTCTCCAACACCAACTGGGTGCCTAAGAATTCAGTTCAACTTGGACACTATCCAGAGTTAGTTCAGACCCCACAGGTTAAGAGCTCAGTTCCACAAGTCTGCTCCTGCTTCAGACATCAGTTGCAAGTCCCAGCAACCACCTGTACTTCTGATTGTCAGTCTATAAATTCAGGGTTTCCATAACACTCTTCACAGGTTGTATAATTCACTGCAGTGCCTCAGAGCTCAGAAAAACACATTTAGTGGTTTATTATAAAGGATACAACTAAATATATATTTTTATTATACTGCATCTTCTCAAGGTTTTGCTTTAACTTAGTTTTTGTTTGTTTGTGTAAATATAGGCACATACACACATACCAACATTTTCCCCAAGATTTCCCCACAGATCTGGGGTGTGAGAAGAGGTGAATTTCTGATGTCAGCCATATATGGGTGATGATCAGACCACTGTAACAAAAGGGCCTGACCCTTAAATGGCTTTTAGAATGAAGAAGTGCATTTTTTGTCTTTTGGAATAGTCTCCATGTGAACAGTCCAGCTTCACTGGGCAGCTTTTTTCCTTGAGATCACTGAGGGACCATGGTTCCTCTCAGGTTTTTCTGCCATCTCCTAGGACACTGTCACTGGCAGGATGGTTGAAACAGGGTTGTCATCACATATGGGTTCCAGCTAGCATGGAAGGGGAAGAGAATGTGAAGGTCTGAAGTCTCAAATCTGGAAGTGACATCCATTTCTTCTGCTCACATGGCATTGCTGAGAATTTAGTCCTGTTGGAATTGGGAGGAAGGCCGGAAAGTAGAGTCCAGCTGGGCAGCCAGGTGCCTGGCAGCAATGCTATTACTATAGACATCTGGGAGAACTAACTAGCAGCTTCTCCCACAGTTTGCCTCTCTGGCTACGCAAATGCCCGCCTGCTCCCTTCTTCCCACACCTACAGTGTACTCACTCACTCCCCAAGTAAAACAACCAGAGTCCCATCAGTTAGTTCAAAAGTGGAGAATCTCTACTCCCTATATAGTTTTCTTCATCAGGTCTAGCTTTGACTTCTCATACTCAGTCACCTGGAAACTGAACTTCAAGTTATCTTCCTTGTCTATCACTAATGAAGAGTGGAGGAGCAAGCCAAGGACAAGTGAAATAAAGGCTCCTATTTAAAAAAGGAAAGTTTGAGAATATATACAGTAGTCCCTGAACCATAGTGAATCCTGTTAGGCAGGGATTGCAAAGAGTCCTTGCCTTGGCAGTACCTCTGAGAAGTTCTTCCTTGTCCATTATCTGCATGACACATTGAAGTAGTATATTGGAGACTAATATGCTCTCCTCTCCTTTTTTTTTTTCTCCTAAGTGACAAGATCCTTCTCTGTCAGCCAGGTTGGAGTGCACGGGCACCACTGTAGCTCACTGCAGCCTCAAACTCCTGCACCACATTCAGCTAGTTTTTTAAAAACCTTTTCGTAGAGACAGGAGCTCCCTGTGTTACCCAGGTTGGTTTCAAACTCCTGGCCTCAAGTGATCATTCTCTCTCAGCCTCCTAAGTGCTGGGATTACAGGTGTGAGCCACTGCAAATGGCTGAAACCTGTTTTAAGTTAAAAAAGAAATGCCTTTTTTTGGCCTAGAATTATGTTTACTTTGGTAAAAACTATTTCTTTCCAAATTTGGTAGATTTCCCCTCAAAAAGAGGAAAAAACAAAAAGCTTCCAGTCTGTGCTAGAAACTATATCATAAGTTCTTTTCCAGAGATAGTTATTAAGCTGCTTTCTTTTTTATCTTCCTGTTTTTCTTTTTTCTTTTCATTTTTATAGATTGAGGGTACAAGTGTAGTTTCATTACATAGATATATTACATAGATATCATTACATAGATACAGTGGCGATTTCTTTGTTTTCTCATTTTAATGACAATTACCTTGAGACCATCTGAAACAGTGGGCTTGGGTAGAAAGGCAACATCCTTAGTCTAGGTTTTGCTTCAGGGCTAGGTGCCCTTTTTTTGGTGGTGATGGTGGTCGGTTAATGGGAATTCTTTTTGCAACAGCCTAATCTCCTGCTGTTTGGAGGTATACAAGCATACAAGAAGTTGGCTTGTTTAACCTTGTGTGGTCTTAAATTACTGAATACTTTCTTTTCTCTTACATGTGCTCATAAAGTAGTCAATTCTTCCTTGAGTTAATCTATTTCTTATAATATTTTGCTAAGTGCAGCAAAGAGCAGTCAACGTACACAGGTACTCTAGCTCTTTCCAGCCATGTGTTTAGCTATGGGCTCCATTGGAACATGATCTGCTTCCCAAGTGATCACAGTGA